ATAATATCACAAAGGACTATCACCTCACCCGCCTCATAGGAAACCTGCTACAAAACAGGAGCTTTTTTGTTGAGTTCAGGGCCAGAGAAGCAGATGGCGGAAACAGAAGAACGGCCTGCCTCAGGGGAGCGTGCTTGCTCCATCCATGTTCAACATCTACACAAATGACCAGCCACTGCCAGAAGGGACAGAGAGCTTCATCTATGCTGATGATCGTGCCATTACTGCTCAAGCAGGGAGCTTTGAGATGGTTGAACAGAAGCTCTCCAAAGCTCTAGGTGCCCTTACTGCCTATTACAGGGAAAACCAGCTGATCCCTAACCCATCTAAAACACAGACATGTGCTTTTCATCTCAAGAACAGACAAGCATCCCGAGCTCTGAGGATGACCTGGGAAGGAATCCCACTGGAGCATTGCAGTGCACCCAAATACCTGGGAGTCACCCTGGACCGTGCTCTGACCTACAAGAAGCACTGCCTGAACATCAAGCAAAAAGTGGGCGCTAGAAACAATATCATACGAAAGCTGACTGGCACAACCTGGGGATCACAACCGGATACAGTGAAGACATCTGCCCTTGCGCTGTGCTACTCTGCTGCTGAATATGCATGCCCAGTGTGGAACATATCTCACCACGCTAAAACAGTGGATGTGGCTCTTAATGAGACATGCCACATTATCACGGGGTGTCTGCGCCCTACACCACTGGAGAAATTACACTGTTTAGCCGGTATTGCACCACCTGACATCCGCCGGGAAGTAGCAGCCAATAGTGAAAGGGCCAAGGCAGAGACATCTCCAGCTCAACCACTGTTTCTGGGATCCTTTCTCCTTATATATTTCAATAAAACCTGGATTAAAGGCATTGGACTTAAGAAACCATCCTTTCTGGGATCATTTGCGCTCAACTCCCTTTTAATGAAGCTGAGATAAGGAAGGCAACTTTTTAAACACTTGTTTCAGTGGGAGCCACACCACCTAAATTACCTCCTCATTTTATGGCGGCTTTAGAAATGGCAAGATATGTCCTCTACCCCACATTTGAAGCTTGCCTCCTGTGAAGGGCACCATCGGTAGCAGTTTTGTAAGCATGTAGAATACATTGTTTATTTATTGCTATTTGAGTCAAAAAGCAAGCCAAGCCATACAGAGCTGTGAGTAATAATAATACAATATTATAATTATATATTTTATATTACATGTAATATCTACATAAATAAAAATCTAATGTTAGTTTGTGGGATTAACATAACTCACAAACCACTGGACGCAGGCCCATAGCCAGGATTTTGTTTTGGGGGGAGCTGAGTTTGATTCGGGGGGGGGGGGGGCTGAGTCTGAGTGAAAGAGGGTCTACCCTAGCAAACCTTTTGTATCGTTACCCCAATACCCCCATGCATATGGGATATATTGAGCATGGTGATCAGATCATGATATGAATAAACATAACAGTTTAAATAATATACCAGTAAGGCCTTCTCGCAGACCACCATGAGAATTTCGGGGGGAATCAAGCCCCCCAAGCCCCCCTGGCTACGACAAATTGACACCAAATTTAGACACAATAATCCCCTCAGGCCAACAAGTGACCATCACTCACAAAAACACTGAAAAACACAGTGGAAGATACTTGAAAAGCAATATATATATATAAAAAAAATTATAATGCATGTGCAAAACCACACATATACACACAAACACATATATATACACATATACACAAATATATATACACACACAAAACACATATACACAGACTGGGCCACAGCAACACGTGGCAGGGAACCACTAGTTACTAATAATATTACAATATAATGGTGTAATACAATATAGTAATATCTAATACTGATATTGTACTATGCTAATAATTTAATGTATTGTATGTATATATAACTTGTAAGCTGCTCTGGGGTGAGAAGGACGGCATATAAATGTTGTAAATAAATAAATAAATAAATAAATAAATAAATTTAGATCACCTATCTGTCTCTCTTCAGAAACCTCTTTGTAACAGAAAAATGGAAGCCCAGCTTGGCTAAAAGACATGTCACGGCTTTCTTCTGTTCTGATTGGCTCAACAGGCAGGGCTCACAGGGAAACCCTGTGTGGGTGTGTGGCTGCCTCTATGCGCTCCATGTGTAGCTGAAAGAAACCGAAAGCAGTTGTTTTTGGCAGCCACATGGTCTGTTGCAGCTGGAAAAAATGGCTGTGGAGCCTATGCTATTATAGCTGGCTGAAACAGCTAGAGCCTGTTTTTAAAAATGGATCTGTGCACAGCCCTAGTGGTCATCCATTTCCCATGATGGAGATTCTAGAATAGATAGAACGTTTTCTGTTTTGGTGACTCATTTTCTGTTTTGGTGACTCTTCACTCAGAAGATGTCCAAAAACAAATAAAAACACTGAACAAGCTATTGGTTTTGTAAAGATATACTGGCCTCTGTATTGGTTTCAAAGAGGAATATAGAAAAATATGAGTCTTTATACTAGCAGATGTACACACTACTCTAAATGAAAGGTGAAAATCATGTGCCCCTTCAGATGTTTTCAGATTGCAGCTCCCATCAGCCCTAGCTAGCATGTGTGAAAACAGGACATATACATGTTCAGGCTGGACAGAGTCAATATTGGTGGAGCCCTCTTCTTTTCCTACAGACTTCCATTTTACCTAGCATTAACATTTTCCCAGAACTATCTTATTTAACACCATGTGGGGTTTAAAATGACACATCTAGTTACAGAGTAACTTTTTCTGAGCAACCATGAAAAACACTAAAGTATTCTATATTCAAGTTGCCTATGAATTAACAATGTTGCATCCGTTACATTCAAAGCTGTCACTTTGAATATTTGCCTTTGTATTTGGAAGCCGCCCTGAGTCCCTTCAGGGAGAGAGGGCAGATCAGAAATAAAATTTTATTGTTATTATAACCCAGTATACTCAGTTTGGGTTTGGCGGGGGGGGGGGGGGGGGGGGGGGGGGAGTAAACGAAAGACTCCTCATTGCTTCTTTACTGCAAAATAACATGGCATGTTTTCAAATTTTGGATGTAGATTTTTAAAGAGTATTTTGCCTATGAAATGGATTTTATTGTTTTAATTGTGCTTTTATTGGTGTATATGTTGATAGCATCATCGGATGCTTACGTAAGGCCGCCCTGAGTCCCCTTGTGGAGAGAAGGGTGGGATAGAAAGGTATGTAGTAGTAGTAGTAGTAGCAGCAATAATAATAATAATAATAATAATAATAATAATAATAATCTGTCTGTTATGCCCTGCCTCATGTACAGAGGAAGAATTGTTGGAGGCTACAGGCAATGCCCTTGCTGTTGCCCATTTTTGGTCAAAAGATATTTAGCTCCTATTTGAGGAAGAACTTCTATTTGAGGAAGAACTTCCTGACTGTGAGAGCCATTCAGCAGTGGAACTCTCTGCACCGGAGTGTGGTGGAAGCTCCTTCTTTGGAGGTTTTTAAACAGAGGCTAGATGGCCATCTGTCAGGGGTGCTTTGAATGCAATATTCCTGCTTCTTGGCAGAATGGGGTTGGACTGGATGACTTACCTACAAAGTACTGGTGCTTACCTACAAAGCCCTAAATGATTCGGGCCCCGCCTACCTGCATGACTGCATCTCTGTGTACGAACCCACATGATCGCTTCGTTCATCTGGAGAGGCCCTGCTCACGATCCTACCTCCATCGCAAGCACGATTGGTGGGAACGAGGAATAGGGCCTTCTCGGTGTTGGTCCCTTGACTCTGGAACTTGCTCCCCAAGGACATTAGACATGCCCCAACTCTGGCAGTCTTTAAGAGGAGCCTGAAAACGTGGTTGTTCCAGTGTGCCTTCCCAGAATAAGGAACCCTAAGCACATGTCCCAAATCGCATTTTACGAATGATCTAGGATTGTCTGCTCGCTCCATTGTCTCCAAATACCTATCCTAGTCATATGACACCTTGTCATGCCAGTATTTTTAAATTTTTAATTATTACATTTGGCCCTGCCATAGGTTTTTAATGCGTCATGGTGTTATTGTTATTGTTTATTGCTTTGTTTATGAGTTTATTTGTTGTCTGTATTGCTGTGTTGTTTTATTGATGTATTTGGGCTTGGCCTCTTGTAAGCTGCACCGAGTCCTCCGGGAGATGGTAGCGGGGTATAAATAAAGGTTTATTATTATTATTATTATCCATGAGGTCTCTTCCAACTCTATGATTCTACTTTTATCAGTTTTATACTAATTGATGCAATGCTTTTGATATGAAATAAATGATCTCCAAGATCTGCTTTGGACTGGAGCCCACACTGCCATATAATGTGGATTTTAGACAGCTGTGTGGAAGGGGCCTCAGAGTGTGGTGGAGCCTCCTTCTCTGGAAGGTTTTCAAGCAGAGGCGGGATGAGGTGCACGCGCTCGTTGACTAGAAAAGCCCGCTCCTTTCCAAGGGAGAGGCGCGCGCCTAGGTGCGCCTCTCTTGACGGGCGCGAGACGCAGCGCGTGTCCTAGTGCTGGGCTGCTCGGCCAGCCAAGGTCGAGCGCAAGCTCTTGCCTCAAGGGAGGAACACTGAGACACCAGCGGCTTGTTTCCCATTCTTTCAGGGGAATGTATATTGGAAAGAGCCCTTGGAATAAGCGCTCCAGCCGCTCTCCAGCCTTCAAGATCATTTTGGAAATTTGCATGCAGCGGGCTTAGAGAGCCCTTTGCACATCCTCCCTCCTTCGCTTGCTTGCTTTTCCTTGGTACCACGCGCCCGTCTCCCTTTCCCAAGCCGAGCTGCCCCGTTTATATAGCCCTCTAAAAATAGCTCCCCTTACACTGCCTTATAAGGAGGCAGCCGGCCGGGGCTTTGGTCCAATCCGCTCAACTCTTCCGTGTTAAGCCCCTCCCCTCACCGCCGCTGCGGCTTGGGATTGGTCGGCAGTGACTTCACGCGCGGCCCCCTCGGTTCCCTCCCCTTGTTTGCCTTACATGGTCACGCGCGGCCTTAATGGACAGTTTCCTCAGAGGATCCTACGGCTGCGCGAGACACAGAGAGAGGGAGGGGGGGAGAGGGAGCGCGAGGAAGAAGGAACCAAAAAAATATAAATAAATATCAAAGATGGGCGCGCGCCTCGGGAGCGCGCGCCTGAGAGAAAAATGCAACCTCCCCAAAATAAAGCGCCAAGATTGCATTCAGCCGCGAGCAGCAATGCAGAAATAGATGGCAGTCTGGTGTCAGTGAGTTTGCAATCTCCCCCTCCTCTTCCTCCTCATTTCTTTCAGACAGGCAATTCGCTTCCTTACTACAAGTGGAGAACTTCCCCACTACACACCATTGACGGCTTCTACTCCACATTATTGGGTGCTGGATGGGTCCCTGTTTACACCTGATTTTTTTTTGCCACTTTCTCCCAAAGTGTGACTACAAATCCATCTGAAAAAAAAGCCAAGCTGAAGACAGACAGAGAGAGGTTGGCTTGACTGGGAGCTCTTTCTGGATCCCGTTCCCCCTTCTCTTGGTTTTCATGAACAGGACTAGAAACCCTCCAGGAAATTGCAGATGCAACCCTAAAAGGACAAGGCTGGGTGTCTTTTGCAGTGGCTTCAGCTCCACCATGGATGTCTTGGCGAGTTATAGTATATTCCAGGAACTGCAGCTGGTCCACGACACCGGCTACTTCTCCGCTTTGCCTTCCTTGGAAGAGAACTGGCAGCAGGTGAAGCCTTTCTTTCCCTTCCTTCCTTCCATCCCTTCCATCCCTCAAATGCAGTGTTGCTTCCCTGCTTCTTTTTGTGTGTGTTTTCCATTTTCTCTCCAGTTCCTTCTTCCTTTTCCTGTCAAAAGAAGCAGCAGGCAGAAATGTCACCCTTGAGCAGAGCTTCCAAACACCTTCCTTATGGAATAAGCCTAAATTAGGCAAGATCTGAGTCTGGGGAAGTTCTTTGGAGCCCTTTCCATACCATACCATGTGTATTTTTGTTTCAAGCAGTATATGTGTCTATGTGGGTTTGTTTCCAGAAGAGTGTCAAATCCATCTGAACCAATTTGGTAAGGAATCAGGGGAAAAACGTGCTGAGGATATGCATTTTCCCCTAGTAAATGCCCTTTTCCCAAGCCCTGTGCCAAAATGATTTGATGCATTTTGATAGTTTTGATCTGTGCATAATATCCGACTCCTCGCCAAGAATGTGCTGCCATCCGTAACTCATTTTTCCAATTTTTGATACTTTATGGAAACTCTACATATTTTCGGTACTATATGGAAACTCTACACCTTGTCTCCTGTGCTATGCTAATAATATAATATAATGCAATATAATATATTGTATATTATATATACATATATTATTTATAATACGGACCCACAAGAATATATTGTATATTATATATACATATATTATTGTATATTATATATACATATATTATTTATAATATGGACCCACAAGAATATTGGAAGACAATCATCCTCGGAAAATGAGGGATCGCCTAAGTAAAGTAAGTAATTGTTTATAATATTATAATGTAATACAATATAATTCTAATATTATTAATAAAATATTTAATATATAATATTTTATATTACATGTAATATTACTAATAATATTACAATATAATGGTATAGTACAATACAGTAATATATAATACTGATATTGTACTACACTAATAAAATATTGTATGTATATATACTTTACTTACTTAGGCGATCCCTCGTTGGACTAGTAGGATAGTCTTCCATGATCAGTATTCTTATATTATATATATACACCTTGTAAGCTGCTCTGAGTCAGTATAGTAATATATAATACTGATATTGTACTACACTAATAATATAGTGTATGAATATATACATCTTGTAAGCCACTCTAAATCCCCTTCGGGGCGAGAAGGGCAGCATATAAATGTAGCAAGTAAATAAATAAATAAATAAATATACACATATATACATACCACACACATACATTATATGCACATATATACATGTACATGTGTGTACACCAGTATCTGTCTCTCTATCATACATCAATCTATCTTCCTACCCTTTCTTCTTGTGTGTTTGTTTAGGGGGTTATTTTCAACCACTGTTGACAACTAACAGCTGGTGGGATAGGCTTTTCTTGATTTTCGAGGTGATCAGGATAACATTTCAAGCCAGGTGTTTTGTTGGAAAGACATGGGCCCTTCTACACAGCCATATAACCCAGAATATCAAGGTGGATACATCACAATATCTGGTTTGAACTGGATTATCTGAGTCCACACTGCCATATATTTGATTTAATGTGGATTTTATGCAGCCGTATGGAAGGGTCCTTGGCTGCAGGATCCAGGAATGCAACTAAGCATCACCTCTGGTGTTTTTTTTCTCCTTAGAAGAAAAATACCAAATTGACTTTGAATGGCGAATCTGGGCTTAAACAGGGGGATGCTCCCAGCTTGTTTCTTTCTGCACAGCCAGCGAGCACACGTTCGGATGCCAGAGGGGGTTAAGAAATACTTCCCAAGCGGGAAATTGGGTAATGAGGTTAAACTGAACAGGGAGACAATGCTGTCAGGAGAGATGGGAGCTGAAAGAGAGAGGAGCGAAGGACTTGCATGAAATCTGTGATTAGCCTCAATACAAAGACAGAGAAGTGGGAATGATTAGAAAGAAAGGCATCAGCTGGGACTAGGAGCTGGTAGAGAGACTGAGAGCACATGCTAGCAAATGGGGCTCCTTGTTAAGAGAAAGAGGATAAGGCTTATGGTAGTGCTCTGAGTTGGGTTTGATGACAAAGTCAGGCGTGAATCTTTTGCATTTGGCAAACTACGAGAGAGAAACCCCTGGCCTGGGCAGTGAACTGGACATGCAAGTGTCCAGAAGCATGTGGCTGCTGTTGAAATTGACACCCACTCCCCATTTTATAGATATGTCTTGGCTGAGATGGTAGATTTCTGGATTTTTTAATCTTCCAGTGATTCAGGTACCCTCAGCATCATTATACAATATGCTTTTAGGTGTAACAGTGTGTATCAATATCTGTATATCTGGATCTTATTGCTCTAAAAGTGGGAATAATTTACAGCGTAGCTGCTCAGTGTTTTAAGGATCTCCCAGTAAGTTGTCCTTGTAATTCCTGCTTTCTTTGTGCAGAAATAAAGTGCAAATACATCTTAGCCAAGCAGACAGTTCAAGTCTACTTCATTCTTAAAGGATGAGGAGCTTTTTCTGTGGAGTTGCTTGTTAGGCATGCTCATTGATGAGTCACATCTGGTTCTCTTTATGTTTCTCCTTTGAGCAGCTGATTCATTTGGAGAGGCGAATAATTCCCCACTTAACAGTTCTTCCAGTTTGCTTCCAACAGTGTCCTTGCCGTTGAATCAGTTGCATATTAATAACAGTCTAGACAGTTCAATGGGAGATAATCTGTTGACATAGCCAGCACGCCTGGGGCAGATACTGTATGCTACTCTACTGTAAAGAGAGGATGCTGGCTGTTTTCTGCAGTACCAGCTCCAGTCTGCTGTGCATACACTGAGTTTGAAGGAGCAGTTTGCCACTGGTAGTGCAGGCACACATGTGCTCGCCATAAATCCTTTAGTCAGGGTTGGCTTTTGTAGTTCCACTAACCTTTCCTTCACATCTTTTTTGGTTTCTCTTTGAACATTTCCCACAAGTGATGCTCTTCTCAAAATAGTTTACAAAACAATCATTTAAAAATTGTCCAGTGATATTGTCCTCCTGTTTTATGTACTGGAGGAAGGAGACAGTTGACACAAAACCTCCCATTATGACCAAAGTGAAATGTGAACTAGAAATTTCCCATGCAGCACTTTTAAAGCACATGTTTGTTCCTCTGAGTGAGTCCCACTGAGTTCGATCCATCTTGCTTCCAGGGTTGTGGGTAAAGGCTTGCAACCAAAAGCCATTCAGTGATGGTGGGATGAGGAACAACCTGAGAGGGAAGCAGCCATAGGAAGCCATAACTGATCTGCACACAATTTATATATCTGCTGATCTCATTTTACCCCATTTCTTATCTTTCTCTACCTGCGTATTTTTAGAATCCATCTACTGTAATTAGAGTAATCATATTTCAAACATGTTTTAATAAAGGATTTTATAGAAGAAGATACAAATTGCATGGAAACAAATTGGAAATGGTTTATTTCCTGGGAATGGAAGGCTGCACAATTCACCCAAGAATTTCAGACCTTATTCTAGTTTTTCAAAACACATCTTTGCCTTTTGTCCAACTGGTACATAGCAAAACATGGACATACACTGAGAAGGTGAGAGACACCAAGGGTGGGGGGGGGGGGAGTTGTCTTTCATTTCACCTTCCCTTTGTCCCCAAGGCCGGCTAGCTACAGAGTTTAGGAAAGCAGTTCTAGAGATTGCTTGAGTTGTATTTATGAAAGGTTCCAGCCAAGCAAACCCCTTTGTATTCTCCCAGTTTCTACACTCACATTCTGTTGTTGAAGGGCAACACTTCATTTGTCTCTTTTAACAATAACAACAGCAACAAAAAGTCTTGCTCAAATGACAGCAAGCAAATTTACCAGCAGAAGGTTGTAGATTAAAAATGAATGAGCTGTAAGATGGGAAGTCCTTGGTTCAAATCTTATCTCAGTCATGACCTCATTGAGTTGCTGTGTCAGCCTCTATTGCGTGTATGAAAAGATATAATAGTAGCCTACTTACGCAAATGTGGGAAGCATGAGTGAAACAAATTTATGTGAAGTGCTGCTAGACTGTCTGGTAAGCCCACCACATGAGCAATAAAGACGTGATCCAGTTAAGCACTGCTGTATGTTAACATGGGGACAGGCTAACTTGCATTCAATAAATGGTTTTCAGGTTGTAGCTTTTGTGATGCCTGCTTAGATGTTTGAGCATGTGACAACAGAGGAGAATCACTACAGCAACAGTGTGGTATCCTCCCTCCTGGCCTAGTATTTTGTGTCTATCAAATTCAGAACAGGAAGAGTTACATAGATTCTGCAAATGTCATCACAAGGAGAAAGTCTCCACTTCTGTGGACTGTTGCAACAAGGCCAGCCAGTTGCTAAGTAATCTCTCCCTTCTCCCCTGCCCCCTCTTTTCCTAATGGCTTGGAGGAAGAGGAAGTCCTTAGGCCTCTGCTTCTGAGAATTGGTTGTGTGGAAAGTTACAATGAAATAGTTTATATATAACCTGGCCTCCTAAATGCACAGTAGGCAAACTTCTGGATGGAAAAATGTGAATATTTTTCTCTCTGTGTGCATGTGTGTTTATGATAGATTGTGAGGACAAATGCATTTGGCATGTACTCTTGTTCCATACTTACAATAGGTCTGAGGAGAATTTAGTTTGGATTGAGCCAGAGTCAAAGTAGACAAGTTCTGCACAACTCCTGATGGGGCAGAATGAAAATACAGCAGGCCCTCTGGATCTGCTGTTTGGTTCCAGGATTGTGGATACCAAATCCATGCTCAAGTCCCATGACATACAATGGCATAATAAAATGGTGTCACTTATATAAAATGACAGAAACAAGTTTTGCTTTTTGAATTTTTATTTTGGAATATTTTCAAGTGGCAAATGGTTGAGTCCATGGGTACAGGATCTGTGAATGTGGAGGGCCAACTGTGTACAGCATGTTCCAGCAAGTGATTTGATTTTTTGGTTGATGTATTGTTTTAGCATCTTTAAGTGGAGCCAAGTCTGAGACTTTCCCCAAGCTGAAGTAACTTCAA